GGGTTTGGGATGACCATGTGTGAGTGTTAATTCCTGCGTGTCCCGTAAGGCATCGTTCCCCAGGGTTTGGGATGACCATGTGTGAGTGTTAATTCCTGCGTGTCCCGTAAGGCATCGTTCCCCGGGGTTTGGGATGACCATGTGTGAGTGTTAATTCCTGCGTGTCCCGTAAGGCATCGTTCCCCGGGGTTTGGGATGACCATGTGTGAGTGTTAATTCCTGCTTATCCCGGTATTCCTTGGCTGGGCAGGGTTTTGGGATTTTCAGCATGTGATGTGATGTTGTGTTGTGATCGGTGATGCGGTCTACACTGAGTGCCTCACTCTCCCTCACCCTCACTCCCCCTCCTCACCCCCTCACTCACCCTCCTCACCCCCTCACTCCCCCTGATTCCCCCTCACTCACCCTCACTCACCCTCACCCCCTCACTCACCCTCACTCTGCCTCACACCCTCACTCACCCGACTCACTCTCCTCACCCCCTCACTCACCCTCACCCCTCACTCACTCTCACTCACCGTCCTCACCCTCACTCACCCTCACCCCCTCACCCTCACTCACCCTCACCCCCTCACTCTCCCTCACTCTCCCTCACCCTCCCACACTCTCCCTCATTCCCTCTCTCCCTCACTCCCTCTCACTTATCCTCACTCAACCTCACACCCTCACTCCCTCTCTCCCTCTCTCCCTCACTCCCCCTCACTCCCTCTCACTCCCTCTCACTCTCCCTCACTTTTCCTCACTCACCCGCACTTTCCCTCACTCTCCCTCACTCACCCTCAATCTCCCACACTCACCCTCACTTCCACTCTCCCTCATTCCCTCTCTCCCTCACTCACTCACTCACCATCACTCACCCTCACTCCCTCACTCTCCCTCACTTCCACTCTCCCTCATTTCCACTCTCCCTTATTCCCTCTCTCCCTCATTCCCTCTCTCCCTCACTCTCCCTCACTTGCCCTCACGCCCTACCTCTTGTCATTCCCCTCACTCCTCTCTTTCTCACTCCTTCCCTCTCCTCACTCCCTCCCTCTCCTCATTCCCTCCCTCTCCTCGTTCCCCTTACTCCTCCCTCCCCTCACTTCCTCTCCTCCCTCCCTCCCTCGCTCCCTCCCTGTCCTCACTGCCTCCCTCTCCTCATTCCCCTCACTCCTCTCTCTCTTACTGACTCTCTGATGTGTTTTCTCAGTGAGGGCAGCGTTGATGATGATGAGGATCTTTACGACTGTGTCTATGGTGATGACGACGGTGGTGAGGTTTATGAAGATTTGATGAAAGTTGAAGCAGTCCAGGCTCCTGTAAGAAGCCCATTTTAAGTCTGCCTTTTTACTCTTTGAGTAGCTGCCACTGTTCTCCTTAGAGCAGAGAGAGTTCCAGGGGATTTAATCGAGGTGTTTAAAACCATGGAGAGAGATGGATCGAGTACATCGGGAGGCAGTGTTTCCAGGGGCCATAAGACCATAAGACAAAGGCGCAGAAATCAGGCCATTCGGCCCATCGATTCTGCTCCACCATTCAATCATGGCTGATAAGCTCCACAACCCTATTCTCCCGCTTTCTCCCCGTAACCCTTGATCCCCTTGATAATCAAGAACCTTTCTATCTCAGTCTTAAATGTACTCAATGACCTGGCCTCCACAGCCTTCTGTGGCAGTGAATTCCATAGATTCACCACTCTCTGGCTGAAGAAGTTTCTCCTTATCTCTGTTCTAAAAAGGTCTTCCCTTTACTCTAAGTCTGTGCCCTCGGGTCCTAGTCTCTCCTACCAATAGAAGCATCTTCCCAACATCCACTTTGTCCAGGCCATTCAGTATTCTGAAAGTTTCAATTAGATCCTCCCATATCCTTCTCAACTCCAATGAGTATAGTCCCAGAGTCCTGAAATGTTCCTCATATGTTAAGTTTTCCATTCCTGGGACCATTCTCGTGAACCTCCTCTGAACCTGCTCCAGGGCTAGTACATCCTTCCTGAGATATGGGGCCCAAAACATCACACAATATTCCAAATGTGGCCTGACCAGAGCCTTATAAAGCCCCAGCAGTACATCCCTGCTTTTATATTCAAGTCCTCTCAAAATAAATGCCAACATTCATTTGCTTTCCTGACTACTGACTGAACCTGAAAGTTTACCTTGAGAGAATCCTGGACGAGAACTCTCAAGTCTCTTTGCACTTCATACTCCTGAATTTTCTCCCCATTTAGAAAATTGTCCATGCTTTTATTCTTCTTACCAAAGTGCATGACCTCACACTTTCCCACGTTGTACTCCATCTGTCACCACTTTGCACACTCTCCTTCTGCAGCCTCGCCACCTCCTCAATACTCCCTGTCCCTCCACCTATCTTTGTATCATCTGCAAACTTGGCCAGAATGCCCACAGTTCCTTCATCGAGATCATTAATATATAGTATAAAGTGAAAAGTTGTGGTCCCAACACTGACCCTTGCGGAAAACCATTTGTCACCAGCTGCCATCCTGAGAAAGACCCTTTTATCCCCACTCTCTGCTTTTTGCCAGACAGACAATCTTCGATCCATGCTAGCACCCGGCCTGTAATACCATGGGCCCTTATCTTACTCAGCAGCCTCCTGTATGGCATTTTGTCAAAGGCCTCCTTGAAGTCCAGGTAGATAACATCCATTGGCTCTCCTTGGTCCAACTTGCTCGTTACTTCCTCAAAGAATTCTAGCAGATTTGTCAGGCATGACCTCCCCCTGATGAAACCATGCTGACTTTGCCCTACTTTACCATACACTTCCAAATATTTAGAAATCTCATCCTTTACAATAGACTCCAAAATCTTACTCATGACTGAGGTTAGGCTAATCGGCCTGTAATTTTCCGTCTTTTGCCTTACTCCCTTTTTAAACAGGGGTGTCATGTTAGCGATTTTCCAGTCCTCTGAGACCCTCCCTGACTCTAGCGATTCCTGAATGATCACCACTAATGCTTTCACTGTCTTTTCAGCTATCTCCTTTAGAACTCTGGAGTGTAGTCCATCTGGTCCAGGTGATTTATCCACCTTCAGGCCAATCAGTTTTACTAGCACTTTTTCTTTGTTGATGACCATCATACTCAGCTCTGCCCCCTGACTGTCTTGAGTTTTTGGGAGATTACTCATGTCTTCCACTGTGAAGACTGACGCAAAATAATTATTCAGTTCCTCAGCCATTTCCTTGTTCCCCACTGCTATCTCTCCAGTGGTCCAATGTTAACTTTTGCCTCTCTTTTGCCCTTTATATACCTAAAGAAACTCTTACAGTCTTCATTTCTATTACTGGCTAGCTTAGCCTCACATTTAATCTTCTCCCTCCTTATTTCTTTTTTTGTTGCCCTCTGTTGGTCTTTGTAAGCTTCCCAGTCCTCTGGTTTCTAACTACCCTTCACCACATTATATCCTTTATCTTTTGCTTTTATGCTATCCCTGACTTCCTTAGTTAGCCATGGTTGCTTCATCCTCCCTGTACCATGCTTCTTTTTCCAAGGGATGAATTGTTGCTGTGTCTCCTGAATTACTCTCAGAAACTCCTGCCGTTGCTGTTCCACTGTCTTTCCTGCTCGGCTCCTCTTCCAGTCAATTCTGCCCAGCTGCTCCCTCGTACCAGTTCTGAGGAAGAGTCACCGGACCCGAAACATTAACTCTGTTTTCTCCTTCACAGATGCTGCCAGACCTGCAGAGCTTTTCCAGCAACTTTGTTTTTGTTCCTCCCTCATACCTCTGTAGTCGCCTTTATTCAGCTGTAATACCGTTACCTCTAATTCTATCTTCTCCCTCTCAAATTGCAGAGTAATTTCTATCATATTGTGATCACTGCCTCCTCAGGATTCCTTCACCTTCGGCTCCCTTATCAAGTCTGCCTCATTACACAACACTAAATCCAGCATTGCCTGTTCCCTTGTGGGATCCACCACAAGCTGCTCCAAAAAGCCATCTTGTAGACATTCCACAAACTCCTTTTCTTGCAATCCACTACCAACATGATTTTCCCAGCCCACCTGCAAATTGAAATCCCCCATGATCACTGTGACCTTGCCTTTCTTATGCACCTTTTCTGTCTCCTGGTGTATCTTGTGCCCCAGCTCCTGACTACTGTTTGGAGGCCGAGACACAACCCCAGCTATGGTTTTTTAGCCTTTGCAGTTCCTCAATTCTACCCACACTGATTCTACACCATCTAACCCTACTTCGTGACAAAGTTGATAGATGAGGGAAGGGCTGTAGATGTCATATACATGGACTTCAGTAAGGTGTTTGATAAGATTCCCCATGGTAGGCTGATGGAGAAAGTGAAGTCACATGGTGTCCAGGGTGTACCAGCTAGATGGATAGAGAACTGGCTGGGCAACAGGAGACAGAGAGTTGTAGTGGAAGGGAGTTTCTCAAAATGGAGAACTGTGACCAGTGGTGTTCCACAGGGATCCGTGTTGGGACCACTGTTGTTTGTGATATACATAAATGATCTAGAGGAAGGTACAGATGGTCTGATTAGCAAGTTTGCAGATGACACTAAGATTGGTGGAGTAGCAGATAGTGAAGGGGACTGTCGGAGAATGTAGCAGAATAGAGATAGATTGGAGAGTTGGGCAGAGAAATGGCAGATGGAGTTCAATCCAGGCAAATGCGAGGTGATCCATTTTGGAAGATCCAATTCAAGAACGAACTATACAGTAAATGGAAAAGCCCTGGGGAAAATTGATGCACAGAGAGACCTGGGTGTTCAGGTCCATTGTACCCAGAAGGTGGCAACGCAGGTGGATAGAGTGGTCAAGAAAGCATACGGCATGCTTTCATTCATCAGACGGGGTATTGAGTACAAGAGTTGGCAGGTCATGTTACAGTTGTATAGGACTTTGGTTCGACCACATTTGGAATACTGAGTACAGTTCTGGTCACCACATTACCAAAAGGATGTGGATGCTTTGGAGAGGGTGCAGAGGAGGTTCACCAGGATGTTGCCTGGTATGGAGGGCACTAGTTATGCAGAGAGGTTGAGTAGATTAGGATTATTTACATTAGAAAGACGGAGGTTGAAGGGGGACCTGTTTGAGGTCTACAAAATCATGAGAGATATAGACAGGGTGGATAGCAAGAAGCTTTTTACTAGGGGTCACGATTTCAAGGTGAGAGGGGAAAAGTTTAAGGGAGAAATGCGTGGAAAGTTCTTTACGCAGAGGGTGATGGGTGCCTGGAACGCGTTGCCAGCGGAGGTGGCAGAGGCGGGCACAATAGTGTCATTTAAGATGTATCTAGACAGATACATGAATGGTCAGGGAGCAGAGGGATCCAGATCCTTGGAAAATAGGCAACAGGTTTAGATAGATGATTTGGATCGGCGCAGGCTTGGAGGGCCAAAGGGCCTGTTCCTGTGCTGTAATTTTCTTTGTTCTTTGTTCTTTCGTTTCTTCCTATTGATTTAATTTCATTTCTTACTCATAAGGCAACCCCACCCCTTCGGCCCACCTGCGTATCTTTTTGATAGGATGTATATCCTTGGATATTCAGTTCCCAATCCTAATCCCCTTGCAGCGACCTCTCTGTGATGCCTACCATGTCATACCTGCCAGTTTCGCTCTGCGCCACAAGCTCATTTATCTTTTTCCTTTTACTGCTTGCATTTAGATATAACACCTTCAGCCCTGTATTAACCCTCCCTTTTCTCATTTTCATTCGTTTTTCCAGTGTTTGATTGCTCGCCTTTTCCAAACACTCTGTCCTATTTGTGTCTGTCCTGGAAACTTTAATAACCTCTCCTGAATTTTCCTTCCCTGTCATTTCTTTCATATTTTTCCATGTTGTTGAACCCACCACTACAGACGTTAACCTGCTGCTTTGTTTCCCACTGGGGCAAGTTTCACCATTCCCTTCATCCCGACTTTCTAGTTTAAAGTCCTATTGAACAGCCTATTTACCCTCTTCGCTAGAACATTGGTCCCAGCTCGATTCAGGTGGAGACCGTCCCAACGGTACAGATCCCTCCTGTTCCAAAACTGATGCCAGTGCGCCATGAAAAGGAACCCCTGTTTCCCGCACCACTCTTTTAGCCACGTGTTTACTTCCCTTATTCTCATGTCCCTATGCCAATTAGCATGTGGCTCAGGCAGTAATCTGGAGATTATAACCCTTGAGGACCCGTTCTTTAATTTGGCTCCTCGTTCCTGATAATCTCTGAGCAGGTCCTCTTTCCTAGTCTTGCCTATGTTGTTTGTTCCGGCGTGGACCACAACAACTGAATCCTCCCCCTCCCTCTCCAATATCCTTTCGAGCCGGTCAGAGATATCCCTTACCCTGGCACCGGGCAGGCAACACACCATGCGGGACTATCGATCCTGCTTACAAAGGATACTAGCTATCACCCTAATTATAGAATCCCCTACAACTACCACCTGCCTTTTTGCTCCCCCCTCTTGAATGGCCTCCCGTACCACGGTGCAGTGGTCAGTTAGCTCATCCTCCCTGCAGCCCTTTTCCTCATCCACGCAGGGAGCAAGTACCTTGTACCTGTTGGACAAGGTCAAGAGCTGAGGCTCCTCAGTTCCTGACTACAAGATCCCTCTACCTGCCTCACTTACAGTCACACCCTGCTGTCCCTGGCCAAATTGAATTACTTAATCTACCAGGTGTGACTGCCTCCTGAAACACAACGTCCAGGTACTTCTCCCCCTCCCGGATGTGCCGCAGTGTTGGAAGCTCCGATTCCAGCTCATCAACTCCGAGCCGAAGTTCCTCGAGCAACCAACACTTGCTGCAGATGTGGTCACTGCAGCTCACAATGCAGGAGTGTCAGTGAGCAGAGGGAGACAGATTGAAGGGAATCAGGGAAAACCCACAGAGGGAGAGGATGAGGGGGAATTTGCTGCCTGAAAGGGCAGTGGGAGCACATTCAGTCATAACCTTCGAAAGGGAGTCGGAGAAAGACTGAGAAAGGAACATCATGGAGCGGGGCTGTGGGGGAAGGAATGGAGGGGTCCTCATTACAGAGGCCTTTGGAGGAGCAGGATCAGTGTCATTGGTCAGAATGGTCTTCTGCCATGCTGTGATTTTCTGGGATTGTCTCCCGCTCTGGAATTAACAGGATAAGGCTTCCTCCCTGCTCATTGCCTGTGACCCTGGGAGTCACATAGAATCACACGGCAACTTCAGCCCCCACAAAACATGCTCTCAACCTGCATTAGCCCACCTTCCCACACTAGGCCCATAACTTTGAAGGTTATGACATTTCAAGTGCTCATCCAGGTAATTTTTAAAGGGTGTGAGGTTTCCTGCCTCAACACCCGTCCCAGGCAGTGTGTTCCAGACCTCTCCCCCCACCCACCCTCTGGGCAAAAAGGTATTTCCTCAAATCCCTTCTAATCCTCCTGCCTTTCACAATGAAATGATGCCCCTTGTTATTGACCCTTTGACTAAGGGGTACAGCTGCTCCCTATCCACTCTGTCCATGCCCGTCATAATCTTGATCCACTTGATCCTGTGGGGTTTGTGATCTGTCAGAGTGATCGATCTTTCTCAGTGAGGTTCTAACAGCCCCAGACATGAGGTGACAAGAGTAAGTGGAACAGCAAGGAGTTCCTGTTCTGCACACAGTTTATTTATTGATTCAGGAGATATGGGTATTGTTGGCTGATCCAGTATTTATTGCCCATCCATAATTGCCCCCCTTCAGGAGGTGGTGGTTGGAGCTGCCTTCTGGAACCACTGCAGTCCATGTGCTGTAGGTTGACCCACAATTAGGGAGGGAATTCCAGAATTTTGACCCAGCGACAATGAAGGAACAGCAATATATTTCCAACTCAGGATGGTGGGTGACTTGGAGGGGAAACTTGCAGGGGGTGGTGTTCCCATGTATCTGCTGCTGTTGTCCTTCTAGATGGAAGTGACCCCTCCCTATCTCTGCAACCTCCTCCAGCCTGTATTTCCCTCCCTATCTCTGTCACCTCCTCCAGGTTCTACACTCCTCCCTATCTCTGTCACCTCCTCCAGTCCCTACA